CTGGGCCTTGCAGAGAAATCACTTTACTGAATTCTCTCTCTACTCCATTATAAATATTTTATAGCTATGACTGAACTTGGTGGGGGGTGAGGGGTGCAGTGCAAGGGATTGAAACCAGGACTTTGAATATGCTAGGTGAGTGTTCTAACACCAAGGAGCACCCTAGCTCTTAGGAAGAACTTCTTATACTTGTGAAAGTTCTTAGTTTTGACATCTGGGACACAGACCTGTTTGGAACAGGTCTGTTTAATGCATGATGGCATTAAATGCAAACTTTAAAGGCGGGGGATGGGCTCCCTACAGCTTGGCACAGTGGTGTGAGCCTGCAGGTAGGAAGACCACTTGAGCCTCAGCAGTTTGATGCCAGCACTGGTAATGTAGAAGGACCCTGTCTGAAAACACAAAGCATGGAAAAAGGCCACCTGTGAAAAGCAATTCTCACTCTGTAGAATTCACTACTTTTCTTACTTTGAAGCAGTTCAAGTTTTTTTGTTTGGTTTGGTTGGGTTTTTTTTGTTTGTTTTGTTTGTTTGTTTAATTTTGACAGGGTCTCCCCAGTCCCAGCCCACCTGGAACTGGCTGTAAGCCAGGTTGGTCTCCATTTCACAGAGATCCTCTTGCTTCTGCCTTCTGGGATTAAAGGCACCTGTCACCACACCCATCTTCAGTTCAAGTTTTAATTTTCATAGGGCCTAGTAATTGAAAGTAGAAGAAACTAATGAGAACTTTTCATTTTTATTCCAATTTAAATTCTAAAAATTCTAAACTCTTTGGAGCTAGCATGTTTCAGGGTTATCATAAAGAGATTATGACTAGTGGTTGTGGTGGGTGGTGGTGCTAACTACCCCTGACCTCTGCTGCATTGATGACTAGCAGGAAAACGAGCTGAGTACAAGACTTCTGCCAGATGGCCAACGCAGGGCCTTTAAAGGACAGGAACTAGTAAAGGAGCAGACTCAAAGGAACTCTCCTATGCTAAAGAACTGAGAAATGAAGTCTTTCTGAAGCAACCTGTAAATTATACTGCCTGCTGGAGAATAAAAGCTGCTAAATATAACAGAAAAAAAAAAAAAGGCCAAGGCAATCAGAGTCAAGGGAGAAACCTTCAGATCTAAAGCTCAGCATGTACTGTCCTCTCAGGAGCCAGCACTCCTTTTTCTTCCCCTTCTCCAGTGTCTGTTAGAGGATGTTGATGGGTAGTAGCCAAGGAAGGCAACTTTAGACAGAGCATAAATTAGAGTCTAAAATGTCTTTTGTATAAGAATTATCTTAGACATGTTTTAGAGAACACCTTTTAGGCTTTATTAAGAAAATAAAGGTATGATTCCTTTTTAAAAAAAATCTTTCAGTAAAACTAAGGGTACAGCTACCAAAATAAGCAATGCTTTTTTTTTTCTTTCCTGCTTTCTGCTTATAAGATTTATACATATTTAAAATATACTCATGAAAAACAGAAATAGTGTCTTGGCATTGGCTAAACAGAGCATTTACTTCCAGGCCCCCTAACAGACTGAGCTTGACTTTTGGAAATAAATTTGCCCAAGATTTTCTCCTCATTCTTTCACATAAAGTTATACATGAAATGATGCTGACCTCAGCTATAAGCCCCTGGAATCCTGCTCAGAGATATCCTTGTGACGGTCACGGAAGACTTAACATGTGTGGCTTAAGGTGGAAAAGTAAGCAAAATTCTAAATTCTTAGCTTATTGTTCAATGTGGTCAATCCTTAAGATACTTTGGCATACCACAGTAATTAAGGGGTTTAAGAACATTTAGTTATAACACCTAGAAACTGAAAATCTACAACTGAATAACAAGAATGAACTATGTATTTTTTAATGGAATTAATACAGATTGCTGTGGTGAAAATATTTTGAAACACTTAACAGTAACACTTCTGTATCACCCTCAAGATCAAAAACAGAAATATAAATAGGCAGGACTCTTAAGGAGACCTACTCCCAGACATGTTTAATGTACATGATTACTAGAAGGGAAATACATTTTCTTCAGTGCTAGGCAGAGAAATTTTAATTGACTTATTTTGGCAGTGAGAATCATACAACCTAGCATTAATAACTCCAATTTAACGATATTTGCCCATTGCTTTGGATTATGACTGTGTGTAAGAAGTACTATTTTCAAACACTAATTAATCATTTTAGATAAACTTTTTAAAAACACATTTATGGCCTCAATGAGTGTAACTGTTTATTACATCTTACTTATAAAAGCTGAACTGTTTTATATACTCTTTATGGAAACAGTGCACAGTCATAAATTAAAAGATGCATCTGTTGTAGACATTTTACTGGTGGTCCTATGTTTGCTTGCCAGCAGAGCAGCTGTTTCAAGGATCGCAGGATAACATATAAAAATCTGTGTGCACGCAGCAAGTTTATACTGGAGTTGCCAACCCAAAGATGGTATGACTCAACTTTCCCAGAAGCAAGCTAGACCAAAATGTGATGAATCAATAGCAATAGTTGCACATTAGTCTGTGTTACATCTATGAAAACCAGTTTCATTTGTGATAGTTGTTCTCTTACTGTTGACAAGCATTCTGAGGTATTTGAATTCTGTCATGAGTGGACTAAATGGAGCTAAAACTCTGCTTTTCTTTTGAGGACCTGAGGACGAGAGTGATAGACCATCATCTTGTGTGGATAAAATGAGTTTTGAATCAGGAATGAAATATGTGATTTCCAATTTACTAACAAAACTATTATTTATATAGTAGTTATTGAATTCATAGTGATGGTTGACTCTTACTTTCTGAGGTGACTTTTATATTTACCTTGTTTCTTTATCCATCAGAATCTTAACAGCTGGCATTTTATTGTGTTCTGAGAGGGTAATAGGCAGATAACTATGGCCATGTGATAATTTAGTGAATTGATATTTAACTCTTATGAGACTTTAGGGTCTATTAGGAATTCAACAGTGGCATGTAATGACTGTAGTTTCTGAGGTAGGATGCACCCTGGGAGGAAATGCAAGATGGCATGTAGAGAAAAAAATATTAGAACTTTTTTTTTTAATTTTAAGAGACAAAGTCTCACCATGTAACTCTGGCTTGCCTGGAAGTCACTATGTAGACCAGGCTGGCTGGGAACTCACAGGGGTCCACTTGCCTCTGCCTCTGCCTCCTGAGTGCTAGGATTAAAAGCAAGTACAACAGTGGCCAGCGAAATGTTAGAACTTTTATTGTGTGTGTGGATTTTTGAGACAGGGGCTCCCTGTAGCCTGAGCTGGTCTGGAACTTACTATGTAGACCAGGCTGGCCATGAACTCACAATCTGTCTGCCTCTGCCTCCAGGGTGCTGGGACTAAAGGCGTGCACTACCACGCCCAGCAAAATGTTAGAACTTTTATTTAAATATTTTATTTCATCCTCTAAATTTTCTACTTACATACATTTCATAAGCTACTATAGATGTATATTATGTGCATAATTATATATTACAAAAAATAGCATATAGCAGTACTCTGTGTGATTTATAAATAAGTTTTTAGAGATGAATACACAAAAAATTGTACTGCTATAAATATACTACCGACGTAGTTTTACATTGTTGCTTAGTAAACATTCATTTCCTTTCTACTTTGACTTTCACCTTGGCAGAGAAGTGAAGAATTGAGTTAATACCATGATTTGTGGCAGTGTGAATAAATTATAGCCAATTCCAGGAGCTTGACCTGTCTTATTTTGACAGCTTTTTCTACTTGGTCTCTTAGATTGCTATATATTTTTAATCATACAAGCTTATTAAACATGGATACAGATGAATAACTGACTTTTGTTATGTTAGAAATAATAAGTTGCTCATGTATTAAGATCTTGACACACAGGAAGTTTGAATGAATGAGTAGAAAAGGTTCCAAGCTATTAAAATGTTCTGCTGCCTGATTTATTCAATTTGTCATACCTGTAATTCTAAAAGCGGGTGATGTAGCTTTATTTCCTGAGACTGTGGTTTTCCAAAGGAGGCACTAGAGCAAAGCTGGAAATACTTGTTTCCCAGGAGCAGCGATAGGCATGCTAACAAGTTGTCCCTCTTTAGGGGAGAGGTAGAACTGTCTTATTTTTTAGGCCTTTTTTGTCTATTTTATGAAGGCAGAAATTTTTCATTACTAAAAACACTGCGAGATTGGGCTGGAGAGATGGCTCAGCAGTTAAGAGCATGGACTGCTCTTGCAGAGGACCCGGGTTCAAGTCCCAGCACCCAAATGGTGGTTAACAACCATCTGTGGCTCCAATTTCAGGAGCTCTGATGCCTTCTTCTGACCTCCACTGGCATTGCACAACACAGGTGCACTTACAGACATGCAGGCAGTACACTCATACACATAAAATAAAAATAATAAAGTATTTAAAAAACACTGTGAGATTGAAGAGAAATTGTCTGTTACACTATCTTTTGAGATCAATTCAAAAGTCTTCTCTATTTACCGTTTGAGTCATTATTTTCAACTCGGGCTCAGTCTCAGTGATTTCTTGGACACATACTTTTCAAAGGGTTCCTTAGACAATATTTTTTGGGAATATTGAAGTTATTTTCAACTGTTCTCTCTTCCATCCTCCACTTGTTTTAGGTACTTAAGGGTTTGTTTTAAAGCATTTATGTAAAAATGTTCATGGCATAATAGTATCATGATGCTGTGTATTAAGACCATGCCTGAAAGATGAGTGTTAGTTAGATGTCTAACAATAGCCAACATATCAATGCTGTAAATTGTGAAACAAGCACATTTTAATACTTAATCAAAATGTATTATTTTTACACTTTCAGGACTATTTTTAAACCGTACCGTACTTTGTAACTTAGTACTGCTTTTGGCAATCCATGTATACAGTTGGCGTGTTTTCTCTTGAAAGGTAATGATCCATTTATAAAAGCCTGAACATTTCAATCTGAGTTCCTTTTAAAGTTGGGATCAGTTCTACTCTTGCTTTGTAAATGTTCATGCCAATGCTCCACTTTCTGTTTTCTTTTAGGTATTTAAACCACGTCAGAGCTGCCTCTCCACAGGACCTTGCTGGTGGCTACACGTCTTCTCTTGCTTGCCACAGAGCACTACAGGATGCATTCAGTGGGCTTTTCTGGCAGCCCAGTTAACTCATATTTCTCTATAAGATTTGGACCTTGGAGCCAAACTAAGGGGCTAGAAAAGTAAAGCAGATTTGTAAAATCACAGCCATATGCAGCTGCACCATGGCACTGTCTCTAGCTGCTGTGCTTAGGCATCTGTAACATTCAGAACTAAGTTGAGAAATATGGGGGCGAAGAATTCTGTTCTTCAGAGACATATTGAAGCATTGAGCCTCATCTGACTGAAAAGAAATAATTTGCCTATGTATGGAGTTGACAGACTTATAAAATCTTTTTTAAAATAAAGCTTGACTTTATAGTACGCTTTGTGGTTTTTCTCCTATTACAGTGTTTTACTTGAACACATTTTAAAATGCCATTTTGATTACAACATTTACTGTTTATCCAAGTCTATTATTTTTTTCCCATAAAACTTTTTTTCTAATGTCTTCTTAATACTAGTCCATACAAGTGGATATATTCCCTCCTACCAGCAGGCTGTGGCAAGTTAAACCTGACCTGTGATAATGGCAGCCCTCAATATTAAGAACTCAGTGCCTGTTTTGAGTAGTGGAAAGTGAGGCAAACCTAATATGGTTCCCAGCTGTGAGCCATGCTCAAGATAAACCAGGGCAGAGCATTAGCCTGTTTTAATGACAAATTCAAAGAAGTAAGCTAATAAAATTTAATACTTCAATGGCACCTTTCACTTCCAACGTAAGCTCATTTTATGATGAGATGTTGAGACTGGCAAAGGTACATTTTAAGTGAAATTTCTGTTCATAAGTTGTAGAGTAATGCAGTTTTCCATCAAAACTTCAAAGGGTTTTACTGTACTCACGATTTTGCTTAAAGAGTGTGGATGAGGATAGAATCGATCTGTGTAGCAGTCAACCTTGTATGAGTCTGTTTCTTAGCCCAGTGGATATGGGACAGTTTCTCAAGGAAATTAAAGGGTTTTCTGTCAAATCTCCATCACAACAGATGTTAATTTTGTGGGTGGAGAGTTAAGTGAATTTGTGGTTACATTAGGGTGTAATAATCATATGTAACTCCTCTCTCTTATTTCACTAAGGAGCAATTAATTTCAAGAGTACATTGCATCTTCTGATACCACACTTCTTTGCTAGGTGCCACTACAGTTGATGAATGAGAAAATCAAGGCATCGGATGATTGAGTAGGCCAAGATTATATATGTAAATCAGGACAAAGCCAGAATCAGAGCACAGGTTAATTTTTAATCCAAATCCAATTCTAACAATACTCTACCAGGGTGCATAGCATATTCCTTAGATTAGATGTTCTCCAACCAAGAATTCATGCTCTTCAGTCCAACCTGTAAATCTGATGAAAGAAGTGGTAACAATGAACTTATATTTAACTTTTGCTGCATTTATCTGCAGAAACTATCTAAAGCTGATGAACGAATTAATCAAATGTTTCAAAAGCTTTCAAGCCTTATTTTATTTCTGCTTTAGAAGCTAATCAGTGCTGGTAGAGCAAATGGAATGGAGAACAAAAACCTCTGCCAACAAACTCTGAGAATATTCTAAATTGATTTATATTCTCTCTCACCCTCCCAGTGACTTCTGAGAGACAGAATATACAAATCCTTCAACTACACAATCAAGTATACCATTTTATATTACCAGGATGGAAATAATAGTTAACTACTATGTGCCTATGTGCCAGGCACTACATTTTATGTTCTGTGTATTATCTAATCCTTACAAACAGGGCTCCTAGTATCCCTCCCATTTTAATGGATGGAGATGTAAAGTAACTTGTCAGGAATAATACACCTTCAGAACAGGAGCTCCAGGGGCTGGAGACATGCTTTACCAGTTAACACTGACTACTCTTGCAGAGGACCCAAGTTGGAATTCTAGCACCCACATGGCAGCTTAAACCATTTGTAACTGTAGATCCATGGGATCTGACACCCTCTTCTGACCTCCACAGGCATTGCATGACATGGGTGTACTTACATACATGCAGGCAATACACTCATACACATGAAATAATAATAATAAATAAAATTAAAAAAAAATAGGAGATCCAGTAATCATGCCCAAGTGGTGAGGCTCCAGAGGCAGTGGTCTAGAGAGAACTGTCAGGCATAAGAACAACTGTACTAAAACCAGGTCTTGGTGATGACACGTCATAAGACTTTCAGGAATTTTTACAGAGCAAGTATCTAAACTCGTGGGATATAAATGGCCTCAACTGAATGACCTTGTTGGTAATCCTGAGAGTTCTCAGAAAGTCATTTTTTAGAAAATGACTTTACTAACTACATTATTGTAAGCAGATGTTAGGGACATGGAATACATGTGCATCACAAGATGCATTATTCGATAGTGCTCTTTGACTCAATAAATAGTTCATCCAAGAGCTCTTAGAAGCGATCTTAAGCTATCAGCAGCCTAATACTGATTTCAAAATCCATGTAGGTGGCAGAAAACTTATCAAAGAATTACAAAATATAGACATTGTATATCAATGAGTATCTCATCTACGATTTTCTAGTGAATTCATCAAGAATCCATGTTATATCAGTGAAGTTTGAGGTGAGCTTGGATTTAAATAATTAGGTTCTCTCATTTAGACTGAGTGAATGGGGGAGAGACTCAACATTTATAGAAGAATTTAAGTATTTCTTTTTCAATTACAGCCATATTGCATATTTTGTTTAATTATGGGATGACTAAGTGGAGGTCACTTAACACGTATGAGTGAAAATGCATTTGTACTTCCTAACCTTATATCAATGTATATTACCTGGGTTGTTTCAAAATCACTTGTAATTCAGTGCTTTCAGATGGCAAAGCAGGACTTTAACTCATCACTTCTGTACACTTATTCTACCCACACTTCCACTTACCACCTCCCATTGCTTCTTATTATTATATCACCTTCACTTACACACATTATCTGCCAAGCTTCTAAAGACATTCTAGTTTGTAATTTATTATCTTGATTGGGGTCCAGGTAGTAAATATAAAGTCAAAAATCATTAATTTTGTAATGCTTTTAAAAATAACATTGCCTTTAATAGGAGATCTAAAATTATCTTTCCACATAGGTAAGTATTGGTCTCAGCTCAGAAACACATGCTATGAACTAGATGATTAGCTTTGTCAACTCAATACAACCTAGAATCACCTAGGAAGAGGTTCAGTGAGGGACTCTCTACATTGTGTTGGACTCTGGGTGTTTCTGTATGGAGAATTGTCTTCATTAATTGATGTGGGAAGACCCAGCCCACTGTGGGCAGCACCATTCCCTAGGCTGGGGGGGGGTGTCCTAAACTAAGTGGAGAAATCATGCTGAGCATGAGCAAGCAAGCAAGCTCGTATGCATTCATTTCTCTCTCCTGCTGACTGAAGATGTGCTGATGAGTTCCTGCCTTGACTTCCCCACAAGGATGGACTATAACCTTAACTTGTATGCTGAAATAAAGTCCTTTCTTCCCTAAGTCACTTTTTGTAAGGGTACATAAAACAACAAAATTGAAACTAGAACATTTACCATATTAATCACCTGTGATATTTAAAATCACATTTTAAATATATTTTTATTAGTTCTTTGAGAATTTCATACAATGAATGTGTTTTGATCATATTCCTACCCCAGTCCTCCTAACTCCTCCCCAATTCACCTTAACCTCTTTCCAACTTTGTCCCCACCCCCTTTAAAAAAAAAATAACCCACTGAGTCCAATTTGTGTTGCCTATATAATTCTAGGTGTGGGGCCATATACTCTGGAGCATGGCTGATTTCCCAGGAGGCCATACTAAACAACCTCTTTCTCCCCAAGAAGCCATCCACTGTCAATAGTTTCTCAGGGGTGGGGGCTCTGAGCCCCTCGCTGCTCCATGTTAGAATGGCTGCCTTGATTGTGTGAAAACCACCACAGCTACTATGAGTCCATGGGTGCAGTGGTCATGTCATGTCCAGAAGACACTGTTTTGCTCCAGTCCTAGCCAACGTCGGGCTCTTGTAGTCTTTTCACTCCTTCTTTCACAATGGTCCCTGAGCCTTGGAGAATGGGGTTAATCTTTTTCTATTTGTGGCTAAGTACTCCGCTAACACTTATTCTCTGTACATGGAATGGTTGTGAGTTTCTATATTAACCACCATCCACTGTTCAAAGAAACTTCTCTGATGAGGTCAGAGAGCTGTACTAATCTATGTCCATTTCACAGAATAGTAGATTCACCCTTGGGGCCTGTAGGCTCCCCAGCAATGGGCTCTTGGCCAGATTAATATTATCAGGCATGCATTTTCTCCTCTGGAGTGGGCCTTAAATCCTATTGGAAAGCAATTGGTTACCTCCATAACATTTGTGCCACTATCACACCCATGGGCATATCTTGCCACACAGTTATTATTGTAGTTCACAGGTTCACAGCTGGGTAAAAGTGGTGATGACATTTCTCCCTTGTCAGCCCACATAGCAACCTTTGGGTACTACTATGAAAGCTAGCCAGCACAGATAGTAGCCTCTAGGTCACTACCAACTTTCTTTCTCTATGTGACCAAAATGTACGGTATCTTCAGCGACAGGTTTTACCATCCACTTCTGGTGGGAAGCCAAGACCAATGGCAATAGCCTGTATTGTTTTAGGGATCTCTGAAACCCCCCTAACTAACAACTGAAGAAGTATTCCCATGCCTGACACTGCACTTTTTGTTTGGTAACCAATGGCTTCTGGGAGGAGTTGGGGGACATTTTTAAAGAGTATTAGATTCTTTCCTTGATATTTGCCATTTAATATGTCATTACAGAGCACATTAATCAATTCTAATTTAAGATTAGATGTCAGCTCCTTACCTGCAATTAAATAAGATTTTGAAGTGGAGAAATTTCCTTTGCACTTATACCAACTTATACCAATACCCCCAAAATATTGAACTTAGAAAAACTGAGAAAATTAGCTTCTTCTAATTTGTATGTAAATGAAATACTCTTATTAATTGTAGCATGAGAAATATATAAGGATATTGATTCAAGTGTCAGTTGTGTAAATAACTTTACTAGTACAGATGTGTTTCACAAACCCTTCAAGAAATTTACCAAGTCCTCATCAAAAGTTTATTTCTATGATTATTCAGAGTTCCAGAATGTTTGAGTGGTTCTTGTTGAAAAAAAAATTTGTCTTGGATGGAAATCAAGCTAAAAAAATAACCTTTAGAGCAGTGAGATAGCTCAAAAGATAAAGGCACTTGCCATGCAAGTCTGATGACCTGAGTTCAATCCCCAGAACCCAGACAAAGGTAGAGAGAACCAACTCCATGAAGTTGTCCTCTGACCTCCGTATGTGCTCCATGGCACTCGCACCCCTCTGCCCAACAATAATTAAAAAAATATTTTTTTTTAATTACCAGCTTTACTCCTGATGAATCGATTAGGTGATGTAAGTCAGAATATTTAGCAATTCTGATAAAACCCAAGGCAAAGTTTATCAGATACTCTGGTTGAGTAATACATGATAGACTCAAATATTTTCACAGGGTATTTGCTGAGTAATATAATGAATGACTTTAAATTCCTTACATTTTTGTAAGTTTTATAAATTTGTCCAGTTAAGCCCTTTTCTGTTCCACGTTTTTAAAACTTTTTTTGCCAACATCAGTTATAGTAACATTTCTTGGTAAGTTCTACTTTAGTTGGACAGTGTTTTCTCAACTCCTTCATTCATAGCTGTTCCACATATAGCAGCCATGGAGGCCCATTCTTCAGTCATTTCAAGCCTTGTTGCAAAGCCTCAAACAAGAATTGCACAGTATTAGTAACATCTGTCAGCCCAGTAAGAGTCAAAGAACCATTCCGAATCATTTACCTCCTGGATTCCCTATTGACATTGCCCAGTGTTCCTAACTGGGCGATTGCTCTTGCCAAAAGGCCAATCCTCCAAAACAAACTTATTTTCTCTGGACATATTTCTTCAGTTCTGCATTCAAACATAATTAACTCATCATCAGTAACTGGCTTCCCTTGCTCAGCTGAAAACATCATTTGGAGATTTACTCTGGTCATAGCCTCATTTTTTTTTTTTTTATTTTATAAAGAAATCCTGTTATTTTGGTTGCAAGTTTCTGAGTTACCTGTGAGTTGAGGGCACTATGACAAGTGCTTCGTCTGGTAATATCAAAGCATACTATAGTTTTTCTGCATAGATATAGATGCTTTGGCGTCCATCTTTGTATCAAAAATAATTCACACCCTACTGTGCTTTCAAAGCACAACATTCAAAGCCCATTTGTCTTTACAAAATGAGTATGCACTATTAATAAAAGATGAAACTTGAGAAGATGGGCATGGTGACTCACCCCTGTAACCCTAGCACTTGGGAGGTTGAGGCAAAAGGACTACTGTGAGTCAAGGCCAGACTGAGCTACATAGTGAATTCTGGGTAGGACTGAGTTACAGTTTGAGACTGTCTCCAAAAAATTAAAAAACAAAAACTCGTAGCCTGGCTATGTGCATGGCATTCAAAATGCTGTTTGTTGTGTAACAGTTGTGTCTCTGCAGTGTGTCAACCAGCAGTGTGATGAGATTCCCCTCAAGATCTGGTCTGTGTTGCAACTGCTCCACTCCACTGCCCCAAACTAACAAGGATAGGTTCCAATAAAACTTTATGTACACTGAAACTCAAATTTCATACAATCTTCACGTCACAAAATGTTAATTCTTTAATTATTTTTCAATCATTTGAAACTGTAAGAAAATCCTCATGTCACGAGCCATACAAACCATTGGAATGCTGGATTTGTCCTGTACAACATAGTTTTCTGTCCCTGATCCAAATCATTTTTTATTACTTTTATATTAATAATTGATAGAAAAGTAGTTACATAAAATAACTATGTTTAATAAAAAGATTTATTTTTATTTATGTCTGTGTATATATGTATGTTCCATGGAGGCCAGAAGCTTGAGTTACAGGCAGTTGTGAGCTGTCTGATGTAGGGGCTAGAAACCAAACTTGGGTCCCATGCAAGAGCAGTATATGCTTAACTGCTGAGCCAAGTCTTCAGTCCCATTACAATCTTCAACTAAGAATAATTACAAGGTGGTATTAAATGCCTTCGTAGTTAAGCAGCGTACATTTACTCTACCTTTAAAAATTAGCTTTCCAAGAGGCACAGTATCAAAGTACATTTATCCAACAAAAATAGAATAACTTAGATTATAATTAATATAATTTAAATTTAAAATTTTAAATTGCATTTATTTATTTACTTTGTGTGCATGTGTGGACACAAGCATGCCATGGTGCTCATGTAGAACAACTTTCATGAGCTGGTTCTATCCTTCCATTACATGGGTAATTAGGGATCAAACTTGGGTCATTAGGCTTAGCAGCAAGTGTCTTTTCCTGCTGGCCCATATAACTTGGAATTTAAAACTATGGTGAGTAATGATGGTACATGCCTGAAATTTCAGCACTTGGGAGGCTGAGGCAGGAGGATCAAGAGTTCCAAGCCAGCCCGGGTTTCATAGTGAGACCCTGGTGCACACACACGAAAAGAAAACACAAAGTATTACATACAGTTTGACTTATTTCAACTAAATTTTAATTTAGTAATAATCAATTTATAAAAGCAAAACATAAGGGCTCAATAGGAAAGTATTTGAATATTAAAATGTTATACAATCATACAAATTATATTTCCCTACATAAAGTCTAGTGGGGAGATGAAGAAAACATTTCAGACCAAGAATCTGATGCAGTCTATGTTTTTTCTTCTGAAAAGACATTATCTGTCCTCTGTCGTTTAAGAGGTCGATCTTCATAGTTCTCTGTAACAAATCCAGAAGCCCATTTTAATGATGATTCTTAAAAGATTTTAAATTTAGTAAAGCTAGAGAAAGTAAGAACATTGCTATGGATTTATTATTTTAACAAGACAAGTCTTGTATTAAACTAAAGCATACCACACTGAACATTCTAAACTGAGTGGCAAGGGGTCATGGATCAGAATAACTAGAACTTGTTTAATTTCCTTACTTCTGAATTTCATAAATACATACCCACACTCATCCCAAAGAGAGTTACAGGACAGGTATACTTACATTGAATTCTCCAGAAATTGCTCACCTGGACTGATGTAGTTCTTGTAGAGTATAGCAGCAGGAATCTGGAAGGTGATGCACAGCATTTCCTTGTTAGGAGCCACATTTCTTACGAGGTGAACTGAACTGCAGGCCTCCAAGGAAATGCCTAACACAGCTCCTGCCTGCTGACAAACATCCTCAGCAGGATTACCATCCTTGGAGAAGCAGTAACAGTGCACGGTGGGGAGGTGCTCCCTGCTGCACGGCCCATCCAGAAGGGACCTGAAAACACTGAGAAACTCTATTGCCTTTGCTGGCAAGTTCATGACAATGTGGACCGAGGGTTTTGCTTCTTCTGACAGTCCCAGATGCTGCATTAATTCTTCTCTGACTGGTCCTTGGAGGAAGTCTTTCCCATCTAAGTTGAAAACTTTCACCTTTTGGTCTACTTTATTTAATTTACAATTGTGCAACAGCCATTTATGAGACTCAGGATTGAGATCATTGGCAAATACTATGCAGTTTTTCTTTGCTGCTGGAATGACAAAGGGCCCAACCCCAGCAAAGACATCAAATAAAACATCTCCAGGATTGAGAAGTTCTATGATACGGCTGTGCTCTGTAGAGAGACGAGGGTTCCAATAGACTTTTGAGAAATCAAATTCATAAGTGTAGTTATTTTCTCGAACCTGAAAAGGATATTCAGTTTTAAGCTAATCTGATTGGATTTATGTACAGGTAAGAATATACATGTAAATGTCACTACTATAGAAGAAAACATTACATCTAAAGACATTTGGATTACAATCCTGGTGTTTATACTATTCCTGGGGCCAGTTAATATCTTGCATTAACCTTTTGCATGAGAAAAGTAAGCTCTCCACTGCCAAATAGCTCTCTACTACAATCTTAAAGGGCCATGAAATTGATTCCAAATCACATGAGGAATTTTTCAGAAAGGTCAACTGACTGAGCTTCTGTCACCAGATGGAGAAGAAACAAACCAAAAACCAAAAACCAATCATTTGGAACAACACACTACACATCTTCATGCTGTGCCGCACTTCCAATCAGCGAGCAAGCAGCCCTCCACAGTTTGTTTGCAAAAGGGAGGCATGATAGTGTATCATTAAAATGTAAGGTATCCTACTATGCTTTTAGACAAGTACTTGAATTTGCAAATGTTTATGTCTATAAATTAGAGCTAGTATTCTATAGAATGAATTAACCTCATCTTTATTTCCAAAGTTTAAGTTTTTGAGGGTAAACAAAATGCATACAGTGAAGTTAAGTCTTGAGAAAAAGTAACCTATGACTTGGTAGTATTTCTTTTAGGTCATATCATCAATATATTAGGAAACATAAAGCTAAAATTATGGTCATGAACTGTGACCTCAGCCATCATTTTAAGCCCAATATTTATGGACAAAGAATCAAAACTAGAAAATTCCTAAAAAATATCATCTTTCTTCTGTTTCCCAGGGCCCTAATTTTACATTTGCACATATTTTCCCCTCCTGACCATATCAGATTCTTTGGGCCATGTTAAGGTCCCACGGTTAGAAATATTTCTAGAAGTTGCTGCCCATAAAGCTGAAATATGCTTCAAGAACTGTTTTAAACATACTGTCCTACAACTTGCTTTGTCACCAAAATTGTCAATGGGCAATTTAACAAATATTGAGCTAAAAAATCTTTAATGATAGATTACTTCAATATACCATTATAACAGAATTTAACCAATTCCTCTTTATTGTCAATATTATCCTATATAAGTTGCTCATTCTTTTTTGTTTAGTTTTAAATTTTTGTTTTTATTTTATGTGTATGAGTGTTTGGCTGCATGTCTGTAAATATACCCTGTGTGTGCAATGCCCATGGAAGCCAGAAGAGGGCATTGGATCCCCTGGAACTGGAATTACAGATGGTTGTTAGCTGCCATGTGGGTGCTGGGAACCAAACCCAGGTCCTCTACAAAAGTAGTTAGTGCTCTTAACAACTGAGTCATCGCTCCAGGAGGAGTTGCTCACATTCTTATATACACTTCAATACTGGGTATGATAAATATTTTTACTCATTCTCATCTATCTTGATCCTAAGCATTAGTCTTGCTATTCAGTTTGAGACAACAATAAAACACTGTGTACCTTGGTCAGCATGTTCTGGTCTCCAGATAGCACTTCCATTTGGAAATTTCGGTATGTATTGTCAATATTACTGATTTTATTTACTGCTGAGGTGATTCCTGGATTTTTGTCAATCATAACTTGGCCTGAAAGATAAAAATTCATAATAAATATTGCTTATCGTTTGCAAAATTAAACTGAAAATATTAAACAGAACTGAATTACATTTTCTTTTGGTTTACAAATAAAACCTGTACTTGGTGTGTACAATGCTGCATTTGATTCTAAAAACTGAATAGATTAATTAATGTCTGAATGCCTCTAATACATATAAAAATGTATTGGTATCTTTTACCAGAAAAAAAATGAGGACATTGGGTCTATTATTTTTCCATATTTTAATTAAATATACTCAGAAGTAAGCAAAAAGGTTGACCATATGAAGTTCACAAAGAATGGATAAAGAGCTGTGAGGACCTGACAACGAATGGTCTCAAAAACACCAGCAAAACCATCTGCCTGCCCCCACTGGCCTCAAACCAAATGCCTGTCTTACTATGGGTTTAAACATATGCCTCCAGTTTGAAAACTTATGTCAGCAAACAATGTTGACAACAAAGGGAAATAGGTACTTCAGGGTCTTACCTAAATTAAAAATGTTCATCTACTTCAATTGTCCTTTTTGTCAAATATTTACTATAGCAGAAAAGCTACAAAGAGGAAATACATCCTAAGGGAGTCTTTATCGTTTTGTCAGCACTTTAAAATTGTACAAAAATCTATATGCACCTCATTACATAAGGAAAGAGCTTCACTTGTAAGTTCACAAAATGTACTGAATAATTATGCTGAAATATAATCAGAATCTAAGTTTCCTCACATACTTAGACACTAAAGATGATGAAATCAGTGAACTCAAGCAATGGCCTTCTCACCATGTTCTGCCTAACATATATGAACTCAATTTTTTTTTTTTGGTCCTTTTGAGACAGGGTCTCCCTGTAGCCTGAGCTGTCCTGGAACTCACTATGTAGACCAGGCTGGCCTTGAACTCACAGAGATCTGCCTGCCTCTGCCTCCCAAGTGCTGGGACTACAGGCGTGCGCCACCACACCCGGCGTGAACTCAATTTTTAAGGCACAAGTTAATTTTAAAAGAGGAAATGTGAAAACATTAAAAGCAATTCTGAGACTCCACATTAAAAACTAAAATTACTCTCCTTATCCTCATAATAATAATAATAATAATTATTATTATTATTATTATTATTATTATAGGGCTAGGGAAGGATCCCAGGGTCTTCAACTTATTGGTAAACCCTCTACTGCTGTACTGAGCTACATCCCCAGCCAGAAAGGTTATATTTTTAACCCCTGACTGCCTCTTTATAAGCGATTAAAAAATTGGAACAGCCAAAGAATGCTTGAGTTAGGTGAGGCAATGATTGTATGAAAACTCACACCTTAGATCTGTACGTAGTCCACACTATAAGGATCTGCTTAACTATTATGTTACCACTATGCATTACCAATGCCTTTGGTCAATAAAAACACAAGGAAAACCTAACAGCAGTTATAAACTATCCAAGCAAAATACCGAGTACTATATTTTAAGGCTGGAAGTAATGTGCAGAATGAGTGTACATCAAATATTTATGCAAAGTATGATTTTGGTTAGTCTTCTTTCTTATTTAAAGAATAGAGGCCTTGGGTTTCCTTAGAGTCACAGGAGTAGGACATGCATAAGCATTGTTTCTAAAGGCTACAAGCACCAAAACCATTTTTTTTTAAGTGTGTACTATATAGTAAGAGGCTTACTTAGGGAACCAATTATAAGTAAATAGCATTGTGTATCTATTTATAAAACTTCCAAATTTATGAAACCTAGTACTTAACTTTGTCCCAAAGGCCTAATCGTCTTTTAATATTTTTTATTATTTTTATTTTTTTGTGTGTGTATGAGTGTATTGCCTGCATGTAGGTAAGTGTACCCGTGTCATGCAATGCCCACGGACAGAAGAGACCATTGGATCCCCTGGAACTGGAGTTACAGTTTTTAGCTTCCATGTGGGTGCTGGGATTCGAACCTAGGTCTTCTGCAAGAACAACCAGTGTTCTTAACTGCTGAGCCATCTCTCCAGCCCCCTAATCATCTTTTGTATGAAAAAGAACTTTGTTTACAGCAAAGGGTCCATAAAAGCCTGTACCAATGCTGTGATTAAGTATAGGGTAGTTCAAAATGGCCCTCAAAAAGGGGTATGTTGCTCAAGATTCAATTAAAATTACAATGAGAAGCTTCCTTGCTTCTGTAGTTTAGCATTTGGGAAAAACCCTGAAAATACTCAAATTAGAATTTGTTACCTGTTTTCTAGTACATGAGCAGGACTATACCTACCAATTAAATGCTTGAAAGGTAGCTGATGATCTCGAAGGTTCAGGTGTGCAATATGTCCAACTCTGCTAAATCCTGAGGTCACATCCTGACCATCAGGAAGCACAGCCTTCAAAATTTCTTCTGACTTAAAGTTTTCATAAGTTAGTTCTAAATTATATTTAGATAACTGTGGGTTGACATCAAGTTCTTTTAAAACACTGAGCTCTGCTTTCTCAAAGGATTCATGAGTAAACATTTTATAGGGATCCAACATAATCAGTCGGCTGTCTTCATCTTCTGGATCTTCAATCACACGCTTTATACCCGGGCGCTGCAGTGCTGCTCTTTTCAGGGCTCGCATCAACCTGTTGACTATTTCTTTCCTCACTTTAAGCACTGGAATGGTGACTGTTTTTTTGAAAGCTGTTCTATCAAGTTTTGTCATTCCTCGAACATCAGAGGGTGGTGAAAATAATTCAGGGTCTCTCTTATTTGCGATTTCTGTCATGGTTGAGAAAACTTTTCTTTGATCCAACAAGAAAGTATCAGGTGCTTTCCTAAGCTTCAGGGCCTGTGTTGTCCATGCCAGTGCAAACAGAGATACTGACTCAGTGGGGTTGCACCCTCCTACTCGTAGAATTCTTGAGAATCCAAATGGCTTCCATAAAAGTCTAGGAAAAATAATCAAAAGATAACATAAAGCTACAAATGAGCACATTCACAATGGCTTTCATTTAATTTTTGAGACAGAGTCTCACTATGCCACCTCGACTGGCCTGGAACTCAGTATGTAGACCAGGCTCACAGAGAGCCACCTGCCTGTCTTGAGTGCTGGGATTAACCACACCCCACAATGGCTTTTGAGAATAAAAATGTAAATTCTCTTTTGAATCACCTGACTAGTGCTGACAAAAAAATTTTAATGGTGTGTAGAAGTATAGAGTCTCTTCCAGGACAGAATGACTTTTGTCAGTTTTAATAGTAAATATGCACTTTCAATCCACCTGCTGTTGGAACAGAGGCATCAGTGGTTCAACAGCCTCCCTACACCCAATGAACTCCCTGCTATACTTTTCTTCAGAATGCATATAGGATTGGAAGGATGAAATTTGAGTAAAAGGGTCATCTCTAAATGAAATGGCCATTACATATGATGCTACTAATGGCAAGATTTACTAGGATATTCTTACAGGATATTGTATCAGGTGATGTGTTGACAACAATCTTATAAGGTATGTAAATGAGCTTTGTAAATGAAGACTCAGAAGTAGACTAATTCACCCAAGGTTGTGTTGCTGGGAAGTGGTTCGGAAGGGATTAAAATTCCATTAAGGGATGGGGATGTAGCTCAGCTGGAAGAATGCTTACCTTAGCATGTACAAAGCCTTGGGGTCTATCCTCAGCACCACCTAAGGTGTTGTGGTATCTGCTTGCAATCCCAGCACTAGGGAGGTAGACAGGAGGATCAAGAGTTCAAGGGTATTCTTGGCTATACAGAAAGTTCAAGACCAGACTGGACTACATGTTTGGAGAGTCTGTCTCAAAAACAGAAAACCTGGTTAAGAATGACCTTAGGGGCAGCTCTGTTAAAAAGTGCTTGTCTAGCATACACACAGGAAGTAATGGGTTTTCAGTTTCCAGCATTGCATAAGCTGGGCGTGGTGGTGCAGGCCTCTGACTCCCACACTCCAAGGAGAAGGCAGAAGGGTCAGAAACTCAAGGCCGTCCTGGATACAAGAGACCTTCCAAGAAAAATGACCTCAGTATATTGCTAGGTTGTCATTCACACTTTGTCACGTGTCTCGCCTGCTACCTAAAGGCTTCGCTATTTTGATGAGGAGGCTTTACTGAGTGTTTTAAGCACAGTATCGGTTATTCACTTTGTCTTCTAAAATACCAAGCAACTGTAAGGGGATGGGTCCTATAACATAAAACAACGAAGTTAAGCTTTACACTAATACTTTACTAGGTAATCCTAAGTGAATCTGAGTGTCCATTTTCCATTTGTAAAATGTGACTAAACACTATGAAAAGGTTTTTGGTTTTGCCAGGCAAGCGTTCTACCACTGAGCTACACCCCAACCCTCGCCTAGCGTCCGACGCAGACATCTTGCCCAGGAGTCCCGCTTGGGCTCCGCACCGGGCGGGGTCGGGGTGAGCTACCCCGCGGCTTCCAGAGCAGCACCTGGTAGCCGGGTTCCACCGCGGGACCGTCTGGACCTTCGCATCATCCTGGATACTGCAACCCCACCTCACCAACCGCACCTTTCCAAGTCTGGCGTCGCTCGAGGCGGCTGAGGACCAAGAACCCTCACCTCATGCTCCGGTAGGACTTGGAAAAGGGTCTTCCCTAGGCTGGGCTAGCCCTGGATGACGTCATCACCGAGGGCCGCGGAGGGAGCGCGCCGTCGGACCCTGTGGACTTGCTCCTCTCTTCCTGGCAGCGGGGAGGTACGGGAACCCGGAATGGCCAAGGCACTAACTCCGCCCCTCGCGCGGCTCAGGCGGGTGCGCGGAGCTGGAGCAGGGGCTCGCAGCTAGACCTGGTAGGTGGCCGCCGAGCAGCATGCAGGCGCCGCGGGGCAGTATCCTGGCGGAGCCGGGCTGGTATATCTCTGCCCAGCAGCCCGAGGAGACGGCGGCGGAAGAGTGGAGCCCGTTGCTAAGCAACGTAAGTGTGCTTGGCTGGCGGCGGGACATCGACGCGCTCCTACTACTCTCCAGTGTTTGCCAAAGGAGACCCGGAGAGGAGGGGATGGTCCCTGGGGTGCGGCCGGAGCCGGGCAGTCGAGGTTCAGCTGAGCCAGCTACCGTTCGGAACGTGACAGCGGCCTGGCGCGCTCCGCCGAGCGAAGCTCAGGAAAAGGGGCGCGCTCCGGTGCCAGAGTGGAGCCTGGGCACCGACGGGATGTGCCCCGTCAGGGTTTTGTGATTCACTGCTGTTTGTGTCTTTGTCGCCTTCCAGTTCTCTCCACTAGTCTTATGAGATCTTTGCAAGAATCACGAGATGTTTCTTTTCTGCACTTAATCATGGGATAGGGGAAGGGTGAGTTATAAGTATCTTAATGCGGAAGCCCCTGTCGGTGAATAATTAGAGAGGTCTGGTAAACGTGCACTCAGCATTTTAAATAACAAACCTAAAGCCCATGCAGTGAGCATTGTGCACTCTGCGGTCCCCGCCCCCTCTTAGTTGCTGAAGGTCCAACCCAGGGCCTTGTGCATACAAGACCAGTGCTCTACCCCTGAACCGCAGCCCCAGTCTGGATAGTCCACTTTTTAACTCAATTCTTGGTCTGTAACAGTTGAAAAGTTTTTCCCGACAGTTGTAGCGGTTTTGCTTCTGTTATATTTCTGACTATCCTCCCTGTTGGGTGAACTTAATTCATTAGATGCATAAATAGAGGTTCGTTTTGCACTTGTTGTAGTTGAGGAGGGACAGTTGTGGACAGCCGTCCAAGCCCACTTGGGGATTCTTCAGGAATCACATGAGCTGAGGTCCTGACCCCTCTCTCAGTCTCCACCCAGAGCCTATCTTCACCTCCAGCAGTCAGTCACAAGACAGGTGGTGGCTCCTCCTGAAACCTACCTGCCTGGCTCTGGTATTGGAAGAGGTAATTGCCTGGAAAACTAGGTTCCTGGAGCTGCACCAATAGGTCAGAAGGAAACGAGATGAAAGTAGGGCAGCTTAGTGTCTTACAAATCCACAAAAATGCTTTGGGCTCTGCATAACTTGTTGGTGATTTTTTGTTTTAATTGTTAACAGAGTTTAACTGATTCAAACATTTAACACTGTTAAATTGTGGTTACAGGAACTTCATGGACAGGGATCCCCAGGAGTTTCATTTGGCTTCTCTGTCTTTAATTTGATGAACGCCATCATGGGAAGTGGGATCCTTGGCTTAGCTTATGTGATGGCTAACACTGGCATCCTTGGATTTAGGTGAGGCCTGTTTTCATAGTTTAGTCATCACTTTTTCATTTTGATAAAGTAGGTTTCGGGGGCCAGTGTTGTGGCACATACCTTGGGGGACAGAGGCTTCCAAGAGGCTCTGTGAGATTGAGGACAGCCTGGTCTCCATAGTGAGTTCTAGGCCAGCTGGGGCTACAGGGAGACCCTGCCTCAAAAAGAAAATTAGATTTCAGAAACTACTATTATGCCATTTCTGTTGGATTCTTTCTGAGGTTTTAGTATTGTTATTCTTGTTGCTAATCTAAGTTTGGAGGAATGCTACATACATACATACATAACATACATATGCACATATGTAATGCACTGCTTATAGAACATGAGTTCTTACATCGTCAGCAAGAAGGAAAGAGCGACCCTACGACAGCAGAGGCTTTATTCTGGAAAGGACCTGCACAGGGGATTTCTGGTGTCAAGAGCTCACTTGCCTACAGACTAGGGTAGTTATAGGGCAGGAAAAAAGAAAGCAAAGGGGACTAAACATTTTCATATTTTGGTAGGCGGTTGGCTGTTACAAGAGGTAGCTAGGGAAATAAAATGAGTAGTGGGTTAAAGAATGTCAGGTGATCGATAAATACCCCTTGTAGTTAACAGTTACTGGGATTGGTAGGGCAAGGAGGGCAAGAATCTAGAAAAACAAGTTACTTTAGTTCTGGGAACCAAAGTGCTTTAGTCTTGGTATTGTCATTGTTTAACCAAAATGGGGGGAGCTTTGCAGAATGGCGTGGCCATGGCTGGCAGTTCTAAGAAGTATAGCACTAGGCTGTCATTGTTGGGTGATCCTGTATAGATCCTTATAGATCTGTAAACCCAGATGGTAAAGCTTTTATACACCCCCCACTCTGTGGTACAGCCTGGTGCCCCTAGGCCCCAGGTCTGTAGAGCATATTCCTGTAGTGAATGCTGGAGGCAATTGTAACATAATGGAATTTGTGCATCTAAACAGAAGGGATGCAGTGAAAGTGTTGTGTGAAAATAATATACCTGTATAGAATGTTGCTATGAGCCATGCTCAGGCTGAGTCAGTGAGTGGTAAAAGAATGTGAAGGCTTGAGACATTAGTGTTCACCGTGTAGACTTCTAAACACTTAGGCTATGCTATTTATAAAAAATCATTTTTCTGTAGTAAATTAGCCGTAGCTTACAGTTTTGTGCTTTAAGTTTTACATTGTTTTTGTTGTTGTTTGTTTGTTTAGAGATAGTATGTCCCTGTAACCCCAGCTAGCCCCTATAGATCAGGCTGGCTGCTGGCCTCTGGCCTCTGTCTCAGAGAGATCTGCCTGCCTCTGCCTCCTGAGTGCTAGGATTAAAGGTGTGCACCATCACATCCAGCATGTTTTAAGTTTTTTTAACTTGTTGATTCTTGTTAGCACATGTAGCTTTTGGTATTTATTACACCAACATCATAATCACCTGAACAAATAGACTGGCTGTTAAATTAAGTTCTCCTAGCTATCTTTTAGAACACTTGGACTCCCAGAACTGTGCCAACAGATCTTTCTTGTCCCCTCAACATGTGCAGATAGAGCCGTCTATATCCTTACCGTGTATCCTTACCACACACAGCAAAAGAAACAGAGTTCCAGGAACAGTTTCCTCAGCTTCATTGGGGAAGTACAAGTTCAGTCTTGGCTCCACCCTTAATCCTCACAGACCATCTGGTCGTTTCATCCCTAGTTCACAGTCATCCAAGATCTCAATTCCTTCCTAACCTCTCCTGTTTCCAATGGGTGGAGGTGCTGCTTGCAGCACTTTGATATGTAAATTCTCAAGCATACCCACATTTTTTCATTATTTTTTGGGTGGCATACCAAACTGAGGTTGCCCTAGAGATGCCCTGATCAGATCCAAGAGCATGGCTTTGCTGCAGTTAATTAAAAGTCATTAGGCCAGATTATGTCCATTAGTAAAAGTCATTCCTACAGTAGCTTAAAACAAACCCATCATATAATCTTAGAAAACTTTTTATATCCTTCTATAAGCCTTTTTGAATTAAATTTTTAAAATTTTCATATTTTACTTTTCTATTTACTATTTTTGTTTTATGTGTGAGTGTGTTGCTTACATGTGTGTAAGTGCACCCATGTGATACAGTACCTATGGAGATCAGAAGAAGGCATTGGATCCTCTGAAACTGGAATTACAGATGGTTGTTAGCTGCCATGTGGGTGCTGAGAAACCCACGTTCTCTATAAGAGCAGTCAGTGCTCTTAGCCACTGAATTATCTCTCCAGCCCCATAAGATAGTTTTTGAAGTTATAAATGAATGAAAACCAAATTCCGTTTTTAAAAATTAGCCAAACTGGGGCTGGAGAGATGGCTCAGCAATTAAGAACACTGGCTGTTCTTGCAGAAGACCTGGATTTGAATCTCAGTACCCACATGGCAGCTAACAAGTCCGTAAGTCCAGTTCCAGGGGATCTGACAGCCTCTTCTGTCCTCTGAGGGCATTGCATGATACAGGTACACTTATATACATGGAGGCAACATACCATACACATAAAATAAAAATAATACATAAAGTTTTTTTTTTTTTAATTAGCCAAACCTTTGAATTAATGAAAAGCAACTTCAAGTCCTGCATGGCATGTTTTAGACTACTGTTAAATCTTAGTGATCCTGTAGCTGTCTTAATGTCATAGTGTAACACACAGCTCACGTTCATGGTAAAGCTGTGTAAACAAGCTACTACACTGCCAATCTTAAGAGTACAGCACATACTTTTAACACAGAATATACAGTAATTGAAAACTCCAGTTCCATGGGATCTGACACCCTCTTCTGACCTCCAAGGGCACTGAAGGACATGGGTGCACTTACCTACATGCAGGCAAAACCCTTATACACATAAAAATAAAAATAATGAATAAAATATTTTTTAAAAAGTATTGTCTGGGCATGGTGGTGCATGCCTTTAATTCCAGCACTCTGGGAGGCAGAGGCAGGTGGATCCCTGTGAGTTCAAGGCCAGTCTGGTCTACATAACAAATTCCAGGCCAGTTGGGGCTACAGGGAGACCCTGTCTTGTTGATGCACAAGTCAGAAATTTTCAAAAACTATGGGGTTTGTATTGGATTAGAAGCAATTTACTTTTTTTTTTTTTTTTTGGTCTTTTTGAAGCAGGGCCTCCCTGTGGCCCCAGCTGTCCTGCAACTCACTATGTAGCCCAGGCTGGCCTTGAATTCACAGAGA